TGTGTTTTTTTTTTTGGGTGGTTGTGTGGGTTTATGTGTATTTGTGATTTGTGTGTATTTGTGTGTGTGATGGTTTGTGTGTGTTTGTCTGTGTGTGTGTGTGTGTGCAAACGTGAGTGTATGTTCAGCTGTTTATGTGTGTGCACGTTTACGAAAGTCAAAAGGGAACATACGCCTTTAAAACTCTTTACAAATGGAAACATATATATTTTTTAGCCTCACGCACCGCTAGCTCCTAATCCTACCCTCCCTCACTGTCTCCTGAAGGAGGGTCGTCCGCCCAGATCCTGCAGGAGGTGGAGGTGGGCGTGCTGGAATGGGCGGACTGTCGCAAGGTCTATGGCAGTGAGCTCAAGTCCTCCATGATGTGTGCGGGCGGCGCTCTCGGCGATGCATGTCAGGTGCGTGTCTGTTGCCATGCTCATTTTCGTTTGAATTACTTCTTTTGTTCTCTTATGACATATCCGCTCGTGGAGACAAGTAGGCAAACTCACGCTCACGCGCACAAACAATCTAACACATACACGCATACACACACACGGACGTACGCACGCACACGCACATACACACAGACAAGCATGCACACATACACGCACATGCATAGACAATCTAACACACACATGCACACGTATAAACATTCTAAAACACACATACACGCGCACACACAAACACGCACACACATACACAATTTAACACACACACATAAACGCACACATCACACACAAACAATCAAACACACACACACAGAGTCACACAGACAGAGGGACAGACAGACAAACAAACCATTAAATGCTAATACACCTATTTTCGTCCAAAAAAATATTCTTTGAAGTATATTGTCTCCTTCTCTCCACCTTTCTATCTTCCTCTCTAAAATATTTTTCTTTTTCATTTATCTATTTCTCCATTTATCTATCATTACACTTATTCCCTTTTTTTCATTACAGACAATTACCGTACTTATTTGATAATATAAAAAAAAAGAAAAAAAAACGTAACATTGGTTTATTCCTATAGCATTACGGACACGCATTTATTTGATAATTAAAAAATAAAAAATATAAAGATAAAAAAGACAACATGACATACATAAGTCCAGACGATATCAACGTAAATCATCTATTCTTTTTATATTTAATTTTATCTAATTCTTCTATATATATATATATATATATATATATATATATATATATATATATATATATATATTTTTTTTTTTTTTTTTTTTTTTTTTTTTTTTTTTTTTTTCTCTCTCTCTCTCTCGTTTTGTTCTACGTGTTCTTGGTCACTTTCTCCTGTTTATTTCCTTTACTACGTGCGTGCGTACGTACGTGGGGCCTTTGTGTTCACTTTTTTATTTTTTTTTATCATTCCTTTGTTCATTCAGGGTTTATTGTCTCCTCCTTTCTACTGTCTAGTTTCTTTTGCGTGTTATCATTCTTCTACTTTCTTTGTATTGTATTCGCTTTATTATTTTTGTTTCTTTATTTATTGTTTATTTTATCTTTCATTTACTTTCACTGTATTAGTTATGTTGTTATCTTTTATTTATTATTATTATTATTTTTTTTTTCACTTTGTCATTTTCTCTTGTAATTTTCTCGTTATTCATTCATTTGGTTATTGCCTTTTGTGCTTTCACCTTATCTCATTACATAAATTATTCGTTCATTTGATTATCTATGCATTCACAAATCTATTAACCTTTTATTCTTGATAGGAGTAATGCTGTCTCTAGTTTCATTCTTATAAGTTATCTGAGAAACTTTTAGCAGAAAAATATTATTAAAGGAGGAAGAGGTGATTGCTATGCATTTTTTACATCCTTGTATCTTTGCATTATCTTATATTTGTTTGAGGATTCATTCTTATCTTCCAGGTTTTCTTTTTTATACATTATATCTATATCAACTATACACACACATATGTATACAAATATATATATATATATATATATATATATATATATATATATATATATATATATATATGTGTGTGTGTGTGTGTGTGTGTGTGTGTGTGTGTGTGTGTGTGTGTGTATGTGTGTATGTGTGTGTGTGTGTGTGTGTGTGTGTGTGTGTCTGTGTGTGTGTGTTATATTTTACTTATCTGTATGTCTATCTCTCTATCTATCTCCTTCTCTAGCTATTCACCTATCTATCTACTTATGCATCTACCTACCTACCTCCCTACCTATCTATCTACACATCTACTTGTAAACACCACAGCTAAATATCTTTATATCCACATTTTCCCCCAAGGGCGACAGCGGGGGCGGCCTCGTGTTCCAGGCGCCGAGTGGGCGGTGGACGGTCGCGGGCGTGGTGTCGTGGGGGTATGGCTGTGCACGCCCAGGATACCCGGGGGTCTATGCAAATGTTACCAGTAAGTGGGGCGCTTCTTTCTCTCTGTCTCTCTCTTTTCATTTCTCCTTCGTATGGTTTTTCGATCTCTTGGTTTCTTTCTTTCACTTGCTTTCTGTGAGTGTGTGTGTGTGTGTGTGTGTGTGTGTGTGTGTGTGTGTGTGTGTGTGTGTGTGTTCTGTTCAATCACTCTTTTCACTCTCTGTCTGTCATCTCTCTCTCTCTCTCTCTCTCTCTCTCTCTTTCTATCTCTCTGTCTCTCTTCCTCTCTCTCTCTCTCTCTCTTTCTATCTTCTCTGTCTCTCTTCCTCTCACTCTCCCTCTCTCTCGCCCACTCTCTCTCTCTCTTTCTCTCTCTCTCATCCTTCCTCCTTCACTTTATGGTTCAGTCTGTCTGTCTCTTACTCCTCCCTCCCCCCACCACACCCTTCTCTCTCTCTCTCTCTCTCTCTTTCTGTGTGTGTGTGTGTGTGTGTGTGTTTTCTTTTTCTCTGTTTCTCGACATGTTTCACTCTCTCGTTTCGCGCATCCCTCGAGGTTGTTATAACGGCTGCATCATGTTGCAGATTTCCTTCCCTGGGTGAGAAGCACGGCGGGTTTGGCCAAGTGTCAGAAACCTGGGCCATCTCCATCCCCACCAGACGGCATCACCACCACCACCACTGTCACCACCACGACGCCGTCACAATGCAGTAAGCTAATCTACCCGTCTTGAGTTCCTGACCTTTTCAAGTATTCAGGGTGTCTGGGAATCGGGTTTATTGTAAGTGTGTGTTATGTCTCTCTCTCTCTCTCTCTCTCTCTCTCTCTCTCTCTCTCTCTCTCTCTATATATATATATATATATATATATATATATATATATATATATATATACATATATATATATATAGTGTGTGTGTGTTTTCCTATGATTTTTCTCTATTTAGGGGTGAAATATAAAGATTTCCTGCACTTCAGGATGTGGCCGAACCAACAAGCGGATCGTGGGCGGACAGGAGACGGGCGTGAATGAGTACCCGTGGCATGTGGGCATCGCCAGGAGGGGGCAGACCTTCCCCTTCTGCGGCGCCTCCGTTATCTCATCACGTCACGTGCTCACGGCGGCGCACTGCACGGAACCGTACGTACACATATAAATAAACATGCATACACACATACATACATACATACATAAGCACAAGCAAACACACATACTCATACACACAAATACACACACACACACACACGATATCCGCATCTACATCTTCTAATACATCCGCCTCTATCTATCCACCCATTGACTTACATACCTATCTACCTACCTACCTATCTACATGAGAATAGTTGTCACCCTCTCTGATTCCCATCCCGCTGTCTCGAAACCACAAAAAGTTACACGCAAATACAGCACCATTAACCACAACACCTAAACCTTGTCTTCAGGATCACCAAATACAGGTGGAAGGTTGAAGCTCTTATCGGTTACCACCAACTTTCCTCGATCTCTGCCACTCCAGCTGCCCAAAGAGTACCCATTGGCACGTGAGTATAGGCGTTTTCACTGATTCATGCGTAATAGTGAGGGTCTTAGAATACGTCACTGCTATGATGATGATGATGGTGATGATGATGGTGATGATGATGATGGTGATGATGATGATGATGATGATGATGATGATTAATATTATTATTATTGCTTCTATTTTTTATTACATCTAGTTTCATTATTGTTGTTTTGTTGTTATTGTTAATATTATTATATTATTGATGTTATTATTGTTATTAGTATGTTAATTTCATTATTATTACTGTTACCATTATCATTATTTCAATTAGAAGTATGGAAGTTGTTGATTTGTGTGGGTTGCTTTCTTGTTTATTACTGATATTTCGTTATTAATTTTATTCACTTATTCGTTTATTTTTACAACTTTGTGCTATGTTTATTTTTTTATATTACACAAAAATGCCACATGATACAAAACATGAGGTCGATTTTGACATAATACGACAAGCACTCGAATACAAGCAAGCTGATGAAATTGATGGCATTTTACATCATGGATCCTAATGCAACAATTTGGCAATGTACCTGGCTTTTTCCGTTTCTGTATTTCTCCTCATTTATTACTATTATTCAATATTTTTGCCATAAAGATAATAAAAAAATAAGAAAGAAATGAAAAGATAAACAAATAAAAAAGGGGAAAAATAAAGAAAAATCTCACCCGTTCAAAATCCCCGAGAATTTAATTACAAAGATATTGTGCAAGTCATTTTCTCCAGAACTGACCACCGCCAATTTTAGCTCCATTGAAGGAAACCTCACTCTCCACTACACGCCTGACCGTAGGCAGACGATGGCAGATGCCCCATCGACCTACGGAAGACCTCGTTGAACGTAACATCCTAGTACAGAAAAGAATTTCCCAGGTTCATGAGACAAGAGTGAGATGGACCGCCTCCTTCATCGACCTCCTTTCCCAGAGAATTCGCGCAGATAACCAAATTTCTTTCCGTGCAGACAACCAAATTTCCAAATTTCGGAGGACTTGCTTTTCTGCGGCGTCCCACAAGGATCTGTCTTCGGTCCATTGTTATTCCTGATCATGGTTATTGAGTATATTATCACCTCGCAGATATCTATAAATATATGGACGACATGGAAGTTGTACTTAAACAACAAATCAAGGCAAGTTGGTATAATACGTCCTTATCTATGTATCGCAAGGGATTTAAGTTAATAGAATGCAAATGAAAATCAAGAGCCGCATGGCAAAAATAATAATAATGATAAAAAAATCAATCAGTAAATTACCCGGCTGCAATAGAGACAAGAAAATATATATATAATCCATTGAATCCCGCCTTCGAGGTAAGACGTGCTAGATGTGGCTATCACTGAATATCTGAAGCTAACACCAGAGAAATACAATGTCAATATTTGTGAAAAGAATATACAAGTCGTTCAATTAGAATCTGGAGCATTCCGGCAAGAATCACTCCACGTATAATCGACCTTCAGACGCCCTGTCAGTGCATGCTCGGCCCAGCTTTGGCATTCGTCCATCGCAGACTTTGAAACAATTAAAGTAGATTAGAGAAGAGCCTCCGGTATTGTACTTGGCTCTAACTAGACTTCTTATTCAGATGGGCTCAGTCGAGTGAACATCCCCACACTACAGGAAAGAGTAATTTTTTTTTAACTAGAAAGTTTTCAGTATTATCGTTATATATGTAATACAACCATCTGCCTTTCCGTCGACCTAGGAAATACCTCCGTCATGTGTACGTGAAGATCTGCAATCCAGTATATAATGCAAATAGGTACTATATGTCGATTGTACTCTACTATTTATTTGAGATACTATCTACGAGTGCTTGTTTAAAGTGTTTACTTGTGCAAAAACAAATTTTGAGACTTTCCTCACCCCTTTCTAAACTCGGAGGACCCGCTAATATCTTGGCTACAAATCCTGCACTTGCTGATTCGTCAAACGGATTCTTACTTTTGGACATGGTCTTGAAAAATGCTTCCGACCCTCACTTCACCTCTGGCTCGCGTCGCAAACACCAAACCCTACTTAAAGCGTGAAGTAAATCCCTTACTTGTATACGCGTCCTATAAGTTTTTTTTTTTTTTTTTTTTTTTTAAGAGTCTCCTCTCGCAGGATCCACCAACATACAAACCACAAATCCTACATTTATTCCATCGAGTTATACTTATATACATACTTTCTATGAAGAATTTACGAACCTCCTCTTAACCCTGTCTCCCCTCACACCATGCCGAAAGACTCTTTTAAACCCTTCCCTCCTTATACAATCTATAAAGCTATTTTTCCCCTCACGCCCTTTTCCCCACCGCAGGATCCACCAGCACTCGGGATACAACCCTAGCACCCTGGCCAACGACATCGCCATCATTGAGCTCCCGTCTCGCCTGCAGCTGGAGGATCCTCGCGTGGGGCCTGTGTGTCTCCCTCGCCCTGGGCTCCTGTACGAGGGCGCCGCGGCTTTCGTCACGGGATGGGGCAGGGTCTCGGAAGGTGTGTGTGGGGATTCCCCGCGAACTGTTTTGTAATTTGTCCTTACATTTCCCTTATATTATCAAACTTGTTATAGAATATCCTTTTTCCTATGTCTTAGGTTCTGAAATTCTTGTTTCACATTTTTCAGGTTCTAAAACTCCTATTTCTTATGTTTCAGGTTTGGAAACTCCCTTATCACATTTTTCAGGTTCTGAAACTCCTATTTCATATGTTTCAGGTTCTGAAACTCTTATCTCTCTTCTTGTGTTTTCCCTCCCTCTCTCTATCTATCGATCTACCCTTATTTATTTCTCTCTCCCTCTCAGTATGTGTGTGTGTGTGTGTGTGTGTGTGTGTGTGTGTGTGTGTGTATGTGTGTGTGTGTGTGTGTGTGCGTGTGTGTGCGTGCGTGTGTGTCTGAAACAGAACAACCAGTATTATACCCGTCTTGCATTTAATTTCACCTCAGACGTTTCCTTCTCAACGTTCGTAAATCTATATCTACAGGTGGTTCTCAGGCCGTGAAGTTGCAAGAAGTTGAAGTGCCGGTGATAAGCAATGCAGAGTGTGAAGTTAGTTACCCCGGCGCCATCTTCCCCACGTCCCTCTGTGCTGGGGTGGCCGAGGGAGGAAAAGACTCATGTCAGGTGCGTGTTTGAAGGTTATTTAATCTCCTTTTGTTGTGTGTCATGAGCTGTGAAGAAAAAAATCAAAAGAGAGATATAAAGTACGTAATAACTGCTTACGTCATCCTTGCGTTATCTTATGTCCTCTTGGCTCACTCTTAATAATACACAAACACACGCACACACATACATACACATACACACACTCACACATGCTGTATATCACTCCCTTCCTCCCTTACTCTCTCCCTCCCAGGACGAATGAAAAAAGGTCCTTACTGCTCTCCTCTCTCTCTCTCTCATCTTTCCTCTCTCCCTCCCTCCCTCATTCCCTCCTTCCTCTCGCCCTCCCTCCCTTTCGCCCTCCTTCTCCCTCTCTCGCAGCGAATGAAGCCCTCCCTCATTCCCTCCTTCCTCTCGCCCTCCCTCCCTCATTCCCTCCTTCCTCTCGCCCTCCCTCCCTCATTCCCTCCTTCCTCTCGCCCTCCCTCCCTCATTCCCTCCTTCCTCTCGCCCTCCCTCCCTCATTCCCTCCTTCCTCTCGCCCTCCCTCCCTCATTCCCTCCTTCCTCTCGCCCTCCCTCCCTCATTCCCTCCTTCCTCTCGCCCTCCCTCCCTCATTCCCTCCTTCCTCTCGCCCTCCCTCCCTCATTCCCTCCTTCCTCTCGCCCTCCCTCCCTCATTCCCTCCTTCCTCTCGCCCTCCCTCCCTCATTCCCTCCTTCCTCTCGCCCTCCCTCCCTCATTCCCTCCTTCCTCTAGCCCTCCCTCCCTCATTCCCTCCTTCCTCTCGCCCTCCCTCCCTCATTCCCTCCTTCCTCTCGCCCTCCCTCCCTCATTCCCTCCTTCCTCTCGCCCTCCCTCCCTCATTCCCTCCTTCCTCTCGCCCTCCCTCCCTCATTCCCTCCTTCCTCTCGCCCTCCCTCCCTCATTCCCTCCTTCCTCTCGCCCTCCCTCCCTCATTCCCTCCTTCCTCTCGCCCTCCCTCCCTCATTCCCTCCTTCCTCTCGCCCTCCCTCCCTCATTCCCTCCTTCCTCTCGCCCTCCCTCCCTCATTCCCTCCTTCCTCTCGCCCTCCCTCCCTCATTCCCTCCTTCCTCTCGCCCTCCCTCCCTCATTCCCTCCTTCCTCTCGCCCTCCCTCCCTCATTCCCTCCTTCCTCTCGCCCTCCCTCCCTCATTCCCTCCTTCCTCTCGCCCTCCCTCCCTCATTCCCTCCTTCCTCTCGCCCTCCCTCCCTCATTCCCTCCTTCCTCTCGCCCTCCCTCCCTCATTCCCTCCTTCCTCTCGCCCTCCCTCCCTCATTCCCTCCTTCCTCTCGCCCTCCCTCCCTCATTCCCTCCTTCCTCTCGCCCTCCCTCCCTCATTCCCTCCTTCCTCTCGCCCTCCCTCCCTCATTCCCTCCTTCCTCTCGCCCTCCCTCCCTCATTCCCTCCTTCCTCTCGCCCTCCCTCCCTCATTCCCTCCTTCCTCTCGCCCTCCCTCCCTCATTCCCTCCCCCAGGGCGACAGCGGAGGGCCCTTGGTAACAGCGGGGGGACGCGGCCTGGAGCAAGTGGGCGTCGTCTCCTGGGGAACCGGCTGCGCAAGGCCTGGGAGACCGGGCGTGTATACGAGGGTAACAGGTACGTGACTGTTCGTAAGTTTATTGCGGATTTGCTTGGTATTCGTTGATATCTTAACGTGATTTTGGTGTATTTAGATTTTCTGTGTTTGTTTAAATGTATTTTGTTTGTATTTATCTTTACTCTTTCTTTATTTATTTATTTTCATTAATTATCTATTATTATTATTATTATTATTATCATTATTATTATTATTATTATTATTATTATTATTATTATTATTATTATTATTATTATTATTATTATTATTATTATTATTATTATTATTATTATTATTATTATTATTATTATTATTATTATTATTATTATTATTATTATTATTATTATTATTATTATTATTATTATTATTATTATTATTATTATTATTATTATTATTATTATTATTATTATTATTATTATTATTATTATTATTATTATTATTATTATTATTATTATTATTATTATTATTATTATTATTATTATTATTATTATTATTATTATTATTATTATTATTATTATTATTATTATTATTATTATTATTATTATTATTATTATTATTATTATTATTATTATTATTATTATTATTATTATTATTATTATTATTATTATTATTATTATTATTATTATTATTATTATTATTATTATTATTATTATTATTATTATTATTATTATTATTATTATTATTATTATTATTATTATTATTATTATTATTATTATTATTATTATTATTATTATTATTATTATTATTATTATTATTATTATTATTATTATTATTATTATTATTATTATTATTATTATTATTATTATTATTATTATTATTATTATTATTATTATTATTATTATTATTATTATTATTATTATTATTATTATTATTATTATTATTATTATTATTATTATTATTATTATTATTATTATTATTATTATTATTATTATTATTATTATTATTATTATTATTATTATTATTATTATTATTATTATTATTATTATTATTATTATTATTATTATTATTATTATTATTATTATTATTATTATTATTATTATTATTATTATTATTATTATTATTATTATTATTATTATTATTATTATTATTATTATTATTATTATTATTATTATTATTATTATTATTATTATTATTATTATTATTATTATTATTATTATTATTATTATTATTATTATTATTATTATTATTATTATTATTATTATTATTATTATTATTATTATTATTATTATTATTATTATTATTATTATTATTATTATTATTATTATTATTATTATTATTATTATTATTATTATTATTATTATTATTATTATTATTATTATTATTATTATTATTATTATTATTATTATTATTATTATTATTATTATTATTATTATTATTATTATTATTATTATTATTAT